AACTGCTCATTCTTATTTGCTTTTGAATTGCTCAAGCATTAATAGCACTTTGATAAATTTTAGTTGTTAATCCACCCTATGCTTGACTTGCTCAAGCACTTTGATGTATTTTAGTTGTGGTTTGATGAAGCATTTATTGACTCCACCTGCTTTTTTAGAGTAAAATCGATACAACCTATTTGTGTCAGATGAATAATCTTAAAGCGATGTCAACTGCTCAAAGTTAAAAACAAACAATGCTAGCTCCCTTATTATATAGATTGTTGATTTTTTTATTTTGGTTATATAGTGCCTTCAAGCACGGACAATTACTAGTGATGATATTTATATAATTTCTAGAATTATTTTATTAAAGATGGAAGTTATGTGTATCTTTTTTATTTTTGTTTTTTATTGAGTAATGCATTGTTCTATAATATGCAGAAATGAAAATACTTGGTCATTTGGTATAGTCAGAGTATTGTGAGGACTTGGTTTATTGTTAAGTCGTCTCTATCTTTTTCATTTATTGTCACTAATGATATTCTCTTATACAAAACTTTCATGTACTAGTAATTATTTTTGATTTTTTGTTTGTTACATAATGCCTTCAAACACGGACAATGACTAGTATGTGTATATATATATATATATATATATATATATATATAATGTGGCTAAATTTCTTTGTCTTGAGCTTTTCGCGGTTCAGATCGATTGAAGATTATTGATCCGATGATTCTAATTAGACTTTTATTTCTTTTAAAACTCTAAGACTTCTATCTCTAATAAAACTCTCTTTCTCATACACCCAACTCTAATACGTATATTAGTATATAACTCTCTATTTCTCCATCTCCCTCACAGATATTTTAAACAAACATTCTCCCATATCTCTCTCTCCTCTTTATATATATATATATATATATATATGAGATAGAATAAAAATGTAATTAGGATTGTCAAGACAAACAATGTTATCTCACAGTTTCTCTCTTAGCATTATTTATTTGTCTTGACGATTCTAATTAGACTTATTTACTCAAAAAATAAAAAAAAATAAAAATTCTCAGGTTATAGATATTCAAAGTCAAGTTAATCACCAATAAAAAAAAAATCAAAGTCAAACTAATCACCAATAAAAAATAACAAGTGATACCAATTGCACCAAAAAAATAAAAAAATTCAAAGCCAAAATAATCACTAATAAAAAATAACAAGGGATATCAATTGCACCAAAAAAACTAAAAATTTTAAGGTCAAGCTAATTACCAATACAAAAAATAAGTGAAAACCAATTGCAAAAAAAAAAAAAATTCTAAACCAACTATTAATTTTTTTTTTCCTTATTTGTATTACTTTTCCCTTGCTAATGTTCATATTTTTTAAATACTTGAATTGTGCAAAATAAACACCGAAACGATAAAAAGATCAATTTAATCAATTTTTTTTAAGTAGTGAAATTTTGATTTTGTTGATTTGGTTTAATTGCAACGTGAAAATATTTTTTGTAACATCCGAGAAGTCATAGCGGCAAATAATTTAAATCAATTGTCCTTGTAGTTACAAACAAATTCGCTAGACAATGTTAGTTCAATTGGGGTTTTTTTTTCTATTTTTTGGAAATTTGATTTGTAGTTTAATGTGAACTAGACAACCTATTCACTAGATTTAGCAAGAGGTTGAAAAAATGAACACTCATTAGGAAGGAGAGCCACCTTGAAGAAATATATGACAGGGTAATTTTGTAATGGTGTTAATTTAAGTTCATAGGGATTTTTAAATTGTATTAATATAATATGTTTTTTTCATTTTAATCCTTGCACTTCTTTTATTTAAGATATTATTGGATGTCCCATTTCTTTGGCAAATTTTTTTGTGTTAAGAGTGCCTTCAGGCACGAGTAATGACTAGTATATATATATATATAACTTTTAAAAAGTCTAAAAGAAAGGAGATTTGAATCTATTTTAAATTTTGAAATGTGAATTTTATATGGATAGTTTAATTATGAAAGATCTAAATTTAAGAAGATTTGATTTTGTTTGATTTTTGAATTGTGCATTTGATTTTGTTTGAATTTTGTATTGAAAGAGAGTAGGGTATTTTCGTCTTTGCACACATATTTGTCCTTAAAATCCCAAAAATTTTGTGCCTAGATTTCTTCTTCTAAAAGACCATAACAGTGGACTGACTTCCAATTTTTTTTTTTAAATGACCCTAAAAAGTTTCGTTGAGAGCCCGCCTTTCCTTCTTACTACAACAATTGAGGTTTTTAGTGACAAAATTTTTTGTCACTGTAAATGCGTATTTCATCACTGAAGAGTTCCAGTGATGATTTTTTTTGTCGTCACTAGGTGGTCACTAGAAGTTTGTCGCTAATAGTCTATAATGACAATTTAGAATAATCGTCATTCATTCTATACTTTGTAGTGACAACCCTCTTTAATCACTAAAAACATACATATATTTCCACTATAAGTTATGTTTTAGTGACAATATATTGTCGTCTTTAGAGGTCTACTTCTAAGGACGAATCTTAAATTCATCACCAACTGTTGGCCTTTAGTATCAAATTAAGGTTGTCATAAATTATAGAGTTCTTAATTGTGTGACTGTCAAAGACAAAAAAAGTTTGTCACTAGAAGTTGAGATTAGAAACAAATTCTCATTTCGTCACTCAAACGCTTTCAAAAAATATATTTATATATATTTTTTTTGCATAAAAATATTGACCCTTGGAAATAACCAGATAAGAGCTATATTACAAATCCAATAATGTATTATCTAGTCATCCACATCCAAACAATATATGACAATTAATATAATAACCCAAAACCAAAGAACTTAAAATTCATTTTTCTCAAATAAAAATATCAGCCAAGCAAATACAAAATAAGTGTATGAAACAAGTGTTTTCTCACTGAAGAAAAGACATAAGTACAGAAATGAAGGAAATAAAATAGGCATAAGTGTGGTTTTGTCCATTGAAAACAACTTGCACCACCAACAATTAATCTACACATAAGAACAAAATAAAATGGTATTAGTATATTTTCAACATCCATAAATTGTTGAAGATAAGTGTAACTTTTGTAAAGCACATGTCATAAATGAGGTTCCTTTGTACAAATATCATAAAAGCAAATTAAAAGAACCAAGACAACACTCAAAGAGATTCTCCAAAATTTCAAATAAAAATGTGATAAATTCAAAATCAAGTCAATTCGGATCAACTCAAACAAACATAACTAGATCCACAAATTATAACGTCAATTTGTTTTGGGGAGATACTATGTTGTATACATGATAGTGTTTGTGATGTTCACACCATTGGACCATTGGTTAACTATCCCATGTTTCTGTTGCTTCAAGTAATTAAGACAACAACAACAAATTCAACACATCTGCCAAAAAAAAAATGACTAATCAAACTCAACCACAAAAGAAAAATTATTTCCAATAGGCCTATAAGCTCCAATTATTTTACACTAAACAAAAAAAGTCACAAGAAAAAAATATTTCAATTTTCACTTAGCAAACAAATTTTACTTAATCTTCACTATTAAAGTTTCAACAGATAAATTGAGGATCCATTTTGTATAAAATAAGTTTTAACACACAAAATTTACATTCTATAATAATGACAATTCGCCAATATGTAAAAAAGTAAATGTGTAATATTTATAGCTTATCATGCGTAAGAGTGCTAGCCAACTGCCCTCTAGAAGACATATAGACCTCAAACATATTCTCAAATTGGGTCTGTCGAATCCCCATCTCTTCAATTTGAATCTGCTAGGATTGTATCATCTGATTTTATAATTGTATCTTTTGATTCTGAGCCTCTACTCGCTCAAGCAGCTCATGTTGAACTCTCTCAGCCTCATTACCCCTCCTTATAGCCTCTTGAGCATCTAAAGTAGCTCTTTGACTTGATTTGACAGATGCCTGAGACCACGTGTATACCTCATCCTCGTCCCAAGTACAAGGTTGTATTTCTCGTTTGGATTCAACGTGTTCCCACCTTCTAGAGTAGGCTGGGATTGTAACTCTAACATCTGATTCTGCAATTTTAAAAGTGTAATGCAATAACTCAAAAATTTGTACAAAAAACTAAAAACTGAAGTATAATATACTACTCAATCTTATATATTTTAACTTAGCTTCATCGCATGCCCATCCTTTCATTGTATCATAGTGAGTGTCTTTGCAAAACAAAACTCGATGAGGTTCCTCATTAGTCTCTTTAGTGGACTTCTTATTGGAACCACATAACTTGGTAACACAATTAAGTCAAATTTTTATTTAAGCATAAAGTATCCATAAAATTTTACTACTTTTTTAGTGGGGGAAAATTCTAAAATTTTTTACAAATTTCAAATGAACCCAAATACTTTTGCAGATTTACACTGATGGCAGTGGGAACAAACAAATCAATAGTCTTTGCCGTGCAAATAATATAGCATATACTATTTCAAATTAATGGATTATTAAATGAATATTCATGTCCTATTTCATTTTCTACCAAAAATAGAAAGATCCTACACAACCTAGCAATAGAGGGCAGTAAATATTATTGCCCGTAACTTATGTTGCATGTCTTAGAATGTTCAAATATACTAAGGCAGTTAATTCTATGCAAGCCTAGTAACCCGAAATTTAATTTTTTTTTTAAAGGAACCTCAACGATGCGAGGGAGATTTTATTAATTAAAAATCAAATTACACTTAGTAGGGGAGACTTATGTACCTTACCCATCAATGCAATCTAATTATAGTGCAATCATTAATTAAAAAAATTCTAATGCATGATAATACATTGGAATACTATTCTAGAAATCATAATTTCCTAATAGCTGAAACCCACTACTGAAAAAAAATGTTGAGCTGAACAGTCACGTGAATAGTGACATGAACAGTCCAGCTGCAACATAAATTCAGCTAAAAGTGGTCAGCTGCATCATCCAAATTATTACCCACTGCTGAAGAACATAGACCTTGAATGAGCTGACGAGGGAGCTAAGAGGCTGCGCCTACCATTGAGCTGAGGGAGTCTCTGAGCTGGGAAGAAGAAGGTAAGAGAGTAATGGAATTAGTTGAACTCTGATCTGCACCTTCTGCATACTTTGTAGATGTTCCTATAAACGGTTAAGATAGTCTAGGAAGAGGCAGAGAACCTTTTATGAATTGCTTTGATCCCACGCTGATCATGTTGCAGGAAAAGTCTGATAGAGATAGGCAGCTCACCCTGATTCAAGTATAAACGAGTAGACTGATCCATAACCCCTTGGTTAGCCAAAGCATCTGCCACCGAATTCCCCTCCCTATACACATGTTGTATTCGACAGTCCATAGACTGTAAAAGAGGAAAAATTTGATCTGTAAGAGCCCATAAGTGCCACGATGGGTTAGATTTTTTGGTAATCATGTCCAATAAGACCTGATAATCTGTGTTAATTTCCCAGTCATAAACCTCCAAGCCATGATCATAGATTAGGGAAAGGCCATCCAGTAAAGCACGCATCTCTGCTTCCATATTTTTTCAAAAATCTGAAATTTTAAGAATACATTGTCAAGTCTTTGGGCTATGAGTTCTTGGGTTCTAATGATACAAATGGACCTTAAATGAAATATATTGGGGTATATTGAACTTCGATTGGTTTAATTGATTGAAGAAACACAGGTTACACGTGTGAGTTATAATCCCGGACAAAGGAATATTATTGACGTGATGCTGGAGTGGGCAACAATCACGGGTATTTTCGCGGGTTGATGGATGGTCAACGGGTTAACAAAGGACCCTCGATTTTAGGGGCGTCACAATCTCTCTTTGCTGGATCCGGCTTCATCCGATCTGAGGAACTTCTCATTCTGTACCTCACATTGGATCTGCGATATTGTTGCGGTAAGAGGAGTGAGTTGCCGAGGTGCGTACCTCGATTGTAACTCTAGCTATGGAGGACATAGGTAATCTCTGACATCTCTCCTTCTTTTGGGGGAGCGATCCTTGTCTCTTCTTGGAGACCTATCTCGTCCCATTTCTTTCCTGGGACTTCCATCCCTCTTATTTTCTTCCTTCACCTTTTCCTTCTGTGAGGAGGAGTTCCCTACCTTTGAGAGAAGGGCTTCTTCACCATTTATATACTTTTCGTCTTTAGACAACACCTCTGCCATGCTTGCTTGCAGGTTCTTTGATATTAAAAACATCAGATCTTTCGACTGCACTCCTAACCCAACAATGAAAATAGTGATAGCGAACTTCTCATCCAGAACATCTACTTTCAGGGATTCTGATTTGAACCTTTGGACATAAGACCGTAGGTTCTCGTTGGGTCACTGTTTTACATTCAACAGGTGGTAACTCGACTTTTGGTAAGTTTGAGCTCCTATGAAATGAGACATGAAGGATATGGAGAGCTCCTTGAAGGAAAAGATTGATGCCAAGCAAAGTCTGTTGAACCAGGCTAGGGCTGAGCCTTTTAACGTGATGGCGAAGGCTCGGCATCGCACAGGGTCCTGATATTCATGTAGCTCTATCTAATTTTTGTAGGTGTTGAGGTGGTCCATGGGATCTTTAGTCCCATCAATTGTCTCTATCTAGGACATTCTGAACTTTGGAGGAAGGGAAAAATGCAATACCCCTGCACTGAATGGGGACTCGATTTGCTGCACCAACGCATCCATTGTTATTGGGGTCTTACCCCTCACGGCTTCCTTTATGTGACTGAGCTCATGTTGGATATTATGGAAGCACTGCTCCCAGTATTACTCTCTTCTTTCTTGCTGGAAAGGGAGAAAATAATTTTTCTTGATCCCTTCGTTCTGACTTTGTCCCTCTTCATTCTCACCATTCCTAGGAGGCAGGGGGCGTGACTATTCTCACCCCCCTCGTTGACTTCTTTAAGGGGGTTGAGGTGCCAATGCTCTCCTTGCGGAAGACCTCCTTGGGCTGGGTTGGTCTACTGAGGACCTTGTAGGAGCTTCAAGAACTCTTCGTTTTGCCAAAATAGACGTTGGTTTACTAGGCGAAGAGCCTCCAATTCATTATTCATTGGGGGATCGATTTCAGTGGTGGGGATGAAATCCTGAAGGCTTTCGTGTTGCCCACCGCCAGTGGCTTCGTGTTGGGTTTGGATCCATAGGGGATTTATCTGATTTCTACTCATATTGCGTGTTGAGACCATCAATCGTTGAAGAATCAGCGTATTTGTAATAGGAACAATCGTTCCCATAGACGGCACCAAGCTGATGGTGTTAATTAAGTGGATTGAGCAGAATGTATAAGTTATGCAAACCAGCTTGGATCTAAGTGTTTCAAAGTTGGGATGACTTGCACAGTGAAAGTATAGGGGTCTCTTGCCCTTCAGATCTTTATTGATGGCTACTATAAATTGCAGAGCGATTCTAATACAATTGCGGTTCCTCTCCTCCGATGGAGGCATTGTTTGTATTTATAATTTGATTCTTATCTCTAAGGGATCTGCAGCGAGATCCCTGCCCTTCGTTTGCGGGATTTTCCTTGATTTTGGGAGAGGATCTTGGGTGGTTGAGAGTTTTGTGCCTTAATTACTGCCTTCTGTTGTTTTGGAGATGCCTCCTGTTAGCCAACTGTTCCCTTCTCATCTCCTTTACTCTTTCATACGAAGGGAGCTCGAGGTCCGCGCCTCTGAACTCTAGGTTCCTTATCCGACCTCCTTGTCTGACCTTACTTACCAAGCTCGTACTTGGTTGAAATCCTTTCTATGTATCATCAATATTATACTTGTATCTTGTATCGACATTCATGCTCCATAGATATTATCCAACCCACACCCATCCCTCCTATTACAGCGCTGTCCTTTTCATCTCTTGTTTGGACATAGGAATAGATAGGCAGTGGACCCAATCCCTTCTCTGGATGGAATATTTCTTCATGCATGGTAGATATCCACATTTCACTAATCAAACCATCCTTATTTGCATTCCAACTGCCCAAAACTTTATTTCCCTAGCACAGGCTTTGGGAAACCTATGCAAAACTTAAGCTTAACAATCCCCTAAGATTTTCCCTCCATTTGGTAGCTACATCCAGTTTAGTAATAACAAAGAACACAAGCCTAGAATTGATATTGTATTTTTAGGATTGATGTTTGTTATCAGTGGGCAACATAACAATTCAAGTAGCCTGGTTATGGTGAAAGTAAGTATGAATTCAATATTTTCGCATGACACTGTCTGTACCTCTTAGTTTTATTTAAGACAGCAATCTATGAGGTACATTATCATGCGAAAATATTAAACATTGGAATTGGATCTTTTTAGGAGTTGGTGTGATTTGCCACATGCTCCTAAATAGGTATAAGAGCCTGCAAGAATGAACTGACCCCAATGATTATGTATGATCACTCCACCCCAAATTCACCTGGATTTCCTTTAGAAGCACCATCAATGTTCAATTTCAATCTACCTTCTGGCGGATAAAGCCACGAAACCCATTTCACTTTAATGGTAGCTTGAGAAACTGGATTGAGATTTAGGGAACAGAGAATTGTTTTCCCTGATTCTGAGTCCATGGATTTTGGTTTGACATTATATACTTGCATGCGGCAAAACTGTAAAACAGTTTTAAATAAGATATAAGAGCGGAGTTTGAGNCTCATATTGCGTGTTGAGACCATCAATCGTTGAAGAATCAGCGTATTTGTAATAGGAACAATCGTTCCCATAGACGGCACCAAGCTGATGGTGTTAATTAAGTGGATTGAGCAGAATGTATAAGTTATGCAAACCAGCTTGGATCTAAGTGTTTCAAAGTTGGGATGACTTGCACAGTGAAAGTATAGGGGTCTCTTGCCCTTCAGATCTTTATTGATGGCTACTATAAATTGCAGAGCGATTCTAATACAATTGCGGTTCCTCTCCTCCGATGGAGGCATTGTTTGTATTTATAATTTGATTCTTATCTCTAAGGGATCTGCAGCGAGATCCCTGCCCTTCGTTTGCGGGATTTTCCNATATAAGAGCGGAGTTTGAGATTTTCAAAGATTCTCCTACATCTTTCCCTCCATAATTGCCAGAAAACCAGAAGAGGAATACCCCTAGTCAACACATGACCAACATNCCAACTGCCCAAAACTTTATTTCCCTAGCACAGGCTTTGGGAAACCTATGCAAAACTTAAGCTTAACAATCCCCTAAGATTTTCCCTCCATTTGGTAGCTACATCCAGTTTAGTAATAACAAAGAACACAAGCCTAGAATTGATATTGTATTTTTAGGATTGATGTTTGTTATCAGTGGGCAACATAACAATTCAAGTAGCCTGGTTATGGTGAAAGTAAGTATGAATTCAATATTTTCGCATGACACTGTCTGTACCTCTTAGTTTTATTTAAGACAGCAATCTATGAGGTACATTATCATGCGAAAATATTAAACATTGGAATTGGATCTTTTTAGGAGTTGGTGTGATTTGCCACATGCTCCTAAATAGGTATAAGAGCCTGCAAGAATGAACTGACCCCAATGATTATGTATGATCACTCCACCCCAAATTCACCTGGATTTCCTTTAGAAGCACCATCAATGTTCAATTTCAATCTACCTTCTGGCGGATAAAGCCACGAAACCCATTTCACTTTAATGGTAGCTTGAGAAACTGGATTGAGATTTAGGGAACAGAGAATTGTTTTCCCTGATTCTGAGTCCATGGATTTTGGTTTGACATTATATACTTGCATGCGGCAAAACTGTAAAACAGTTTTAAATAAGATATAAGAGCGGAGTTTGAGATTTTCAAAGATTCTCCTACATCTTTCCCTCCATAATTGCCAGAAAACCAGAAGAGGAATACCCCTAGTCAACACATGACCAACATAAGAGTGCTTGAATATTCTTATGAGTCACAAAATCTTGTAATTGGACTTTCATTCTCAATCAAGTGAAAACCAAAAAATCTAGAAGCATAGCCCCACACTTCTCTGGCATGAGAGGAGCTAATGAACACATGATTTAGTGACTCTGCATCCTTCTCACACAATACACACCTACTAGCTAAAGCCACACCCTTCTTCTGAAATGTAGAATCCATAGGAAGAATGTCCTTCCATAGCTTCCATCCATGCAACATGGCACTGGGAGGAGAAATTTGCTTCCATAGATTATAAAAAGGCATTTGAACTGGCCTAGAAGTGCGAACTAGACTCCAAGCCATTTTTAAAGAAAAGGACCCAGTAGGAGTAAGTTGCCAGATCAACTTATCCTCTTTGGTAGATAACAAAACAGAAGAAGAAACAATTTCTTGCAGTAGATTACCATCTAGGCATTGAGAGACTCCTTGCAAGCACCAACTACCATTTATTAATAAGTTTGATAACATTGGAAAATGACTAGGCTGCCTAGTGTTCCTTAATATTAATGGACCTGATCCAAGCCAATTGTCACACCAGAAGTTCACCGTATGACCCGATCCCACCCGCTTTTTGGAGTTGTTGATTACTACTCCTATCCGCAGAACCAGGCTTTATAAAGTCTGGAATGACTGCCAATTAGCTGTTT